GAGGAAGAGTGACAGTCAAGAAGGATCTCAATGCTACGTGGGCTACTCAGCTGAATGTTACAAGCTGTCGATATCCTGTTGTGTGCACAGATGAAGTCTCAGTTCTCGAGGGGGTCTAGGTCATGCAATTTGACACCAAGCCTAGCAGATATGATCTCCTGTGTGTCATCCTGTCAGTGCGCAAGCTTGAAAGAAAAAAAAATTGAGGGATGAAGTGAAATTCAGTGAGTGAAGATCTTGGTATACAAAAGTGAGGTCCTGAGTTTAGACAACAGCCCTCAACTAGAAAGATGAATTCAAGAGTGTACAACTGTAATCACAGTGGGTTTTTTGTTTGTGAAGAACATGTCTTACTTTTTAATTTTTTAATAATATGTTTTATTATTTTAAAAAATTTCTTTCTTTACATTATTTGTACCCCATATTAACAAGTCTTCCCATGCTTCCCAACTCCCTCTCAACTTCCTGACCTCCTATTTATTATTATTATACATAATGTACATATAATTAATTATTACACAATTTTGACATTATATGATATGTAATATAATAATATATGATATATATATGTGTTTATAAACACACATATACATATTTAAATGGAACCTCTGAGTTAATTTCTTGTTGTTCATATGTATATGTGGCTCTGGCTAGCCACTTGGGATTGTCTAACCCATCAAGTAACTTGGAACTGGAGAAACCTGATTCTCTGTCTCTCAGCTTTTTACTTATGGTAAGGTCGTGTGGAGTTCCTCTTCCACATTGGCAGCCAAATGATGTTGTCACTGTTCAGATCTTGTTTAGATAACCATATTGTTGAGATTTCGTGGGTGTAGCTTCCCTGTCACATGTAAAAAGTGCATATATAGACGATGCTATCTCAAAATAAATGTCCTCGTCCTCTGGTTCTTTAAATCTTTCTGCCACCTCTTCTACACTGTTCCCAGAACTTTAGTGTAGGGTTATATTGAAGATGTAAGAACTTGGGCTGACACTTAACTGTTAATATGTTCTCTGTACTTTGTCCAGTTGTGGGTTTCTGTAACAGTCATTGTCTGCTGCAAAAATAAGCTTCATTGATGAGGTAGAGTGTGACACTTACCAGGGCATATGAACATAAGTATTTAGACTGTAGTTGGGAATTATACTTGTTTAGGAATGTGACAGCAGGAGGTTTTCTTCTCAGATCTATGACCCCAGTCACAGATAATTGCCTAGGTTTGTAGGAACACGTATGGTTCCTCTTTATTGAGAGAGCCTTAACACCAACTGGGTGGCTGCTAGCAGCCCATGAGATCTAAGTGCCACTGTGTATACACTTGGCTGTGTCTTGGTGAGTTGTTCATTGTGTTCACAGGCCTTTGAGTCGGGTAGCTTTTTGATTGGGTTTTGTCTCTTGACAGCTTGCCTAACAACTTTGGATGTAATTAGAGCCAATTCCCAGAGAGAAAGCTTCCAGCTCAGGTCCAGCTTCACTCTTCCATCTTATGCCTAAAATGTGTATTATCATTAGTGATCTTATGGTGAAACAGTACCTTAGAAGCTCATGGACCAGCTACCCTGAGTCACACAGTGACAAAAGGAGAGAGACCTATCTCAAATGGAGGGAGAGGACCTGTAGGTGGAGGCTGCTTGTTTTGTTTCCTGACCACCCAGTTCCCAAATAATCACATAGAAACTATATAAATCAAAACACTACTTGTCCTATTAGCTCTATTTTATTATTAACTAATTCTTACATCTTCAATTAACCCATTTCTCTTAATCTGTATATTATCATGTGGATGTGGCATACCAGTAAGGTTTCATCTGGTGTCTGTCACTCTCAGAGGCTATATGGCATCTCTCTGACTCCATTTTCTTTTTCTCCTCTATCTCAGCTTGGAATTCCTACCTTGTCCTATTCTTCACTGTCATAGGCCCAAAGAATATTCTTTAATAACCAATGGTAATAAAACATATTCACAGCATACAGAGGGGAATCCCACATCAAGGACCAATGTCTGAGATCTGAGGTTGTTCTTTTCTGCACACTCATTTGTAGTATCTATGCGTGTGTGAGTATGTGTGCACATGTGAACACGTGCATGAACACACACACACATACATACACACACACACACACACACACACACACACACACACACGGACACACAGCAAACGATTAAGAAAAAGAGGAGTTGCTTCCTAATGAGCGATGCCCCTTTCATGAATACTAAATTCTTAGGATGATTATTAGTTTCAGTTTGGCGCTGTCACTGCATAGTTGAGCATTTGAAGCAGTGAATGCAGAGAGGGAGGCGCCCTTGGCACTGCAGCAGAAGCCCGGCTCTTCATTTCTAGAAGTCACTGTCTATGGTGGGACCGTGTGTAGTTTCTAGCCCTTCGGCCTTTCCTCCTCCTCTGCATCTGAAAGCTGCAGGTTGGCATGCATTGATTTCTGAGAAGGCTTGGGGTTTAAATGCACTTCATCAGAACCAGAGAAAGGATCTGGCTCCCCAGTGTGAGGGAAAATTATAAAATTCACAAAACCTTCTAAAATGCTAACTCTTTTATTATGGCTGTTTGATGACTTTCATTTGAAGATCAATTACTTAGGGAGAGAAATCAATTTTTGGAAGGGGGCTGGCGGATAATTTCTAAATATACTTGCTGTACAGCGCTGTGTGTCTCTGCAGGCATTTGCCTCCCAGAAACTGACGTACAGTGTGAGGAAGGCACGGAGAACGTGGACTTGCAGTACCCCATGAAGTTGTTGATGATTCCTTTGCATGGAATGATGGGATGTCCCCTGCGTCAATAGAAGGCAATAACTGGACAGATTCCCAGGCTGTCTCTCATACAAGCCTTTTGAGTGCATAGAGAAATAATCACAATGATGAGTGACAGTCTGATGAATGTGATTCTGAGAATCAATACAAGAGGAAAACAAAGAGACTGGGGAAATACTACAGTCAGTAAACTGCTTGCCTGGTGGCATTAGGGCCAGGGTTCAGTTCTGAAAATTCATTGGAAAAATGAGGCACAGTATTGTATACTTGTAATCTCAGTACTGGGGATACAGAGAAAGGGGCCTTAGGGCTAGCTATCCAACCAGTCTAGGCTACTTGATGAGTTACAGGTCAATGATGGAGCCTGTCTCATCATATCATGGTGAATGGCAGTGAGAAACCTTGTCAGAGGTTTCTTTTGCTTTTTCATGCACACGCAAACTCACTTAATGTTCTCTCCCCCCCCCCTCTCTCTCTCTCTGTGTGTTTCTATACACATACAAACATAGAAAAACAAAATATAACTTTGAGTATTAATCTCTAAAACTGAAGACAAAATAACCTCCCCTACCGTCATTCCCATTTGTCTGACTGAAATGATCAAATCATTCTTTAGATGTAGTCACATGGAGTGCTGCAACCTCAGACATGCTGTGTAGGCATCAATTTGCAGTATCTTCCAAACTTACACAGGTGAATGTTCTGGACCAGACCGATCACTTCTACAAATGTGTCTCAGAAATACATTCCAAGTGGACATATTATGGAATTAACCAGTGGATAATCTTGTGTGGGATAACCAAATATTTGAGGAAAATCAAACATGTTTTGGGAGGAGAGTAGAACTGGAGGTGACATAAGAACAGACGAAGGAGCAACTTGTGCACAGCAGAATGATTCTCAGATGATTAGTAAGAAGATAAAGAATCAAAACATTTTATACAATGGTGATTAAAATAATTAAAGACATTTAGGTTCAATCATAAGACACCCCCGAGGTAGAGTGTGTAGAGGAAAGCAGAAGGGCTGGAGGCCTGGGAAGTGAATTGCTCCTGGAAGTCCTACATCTGTGGTCACGCTCATTCCTGAAAAAGGATTGGTTTAAAACCAATAATGTTTTTTAAATACCTCCGCAGTGAGCTGGAGAGACGGCTCAGCAGTTAAGAACACTTGCTACTCTTTCAGAAGACCTCAGTTTGGTTCCCAGCACCTATGCCATGATGTCACGAAGCTACCAACAACCTATCACTCTGGAGTCAGAGGATCTGACACCCTCTTCTGGCCTCTGTTGAACACTGGTAATCACATGCAAAACTTGCACACCCAGAAACACACACACACACAAACACACACTTATACACTTTAAAAAAGTCCCTGGCAGTACCTTACATGGTATAGATGTAGAAAAGAATTGCCTGAAAAGAACTTCATTTGCCCAAAAATTGAGGTCAATAATTGACAAGTGGGGCTTATACAACTAATAAGCTCCAAGTGAGGGAAACACCTAGAGGTGAAAGATGACCTTTGCCAGATATAAAACTGACAGAGTATAACTATCCAGAATATGTGAAGAATTCCAAAAAGCAAACAAATAAATGACCAATTTAAAATATGTCTTCAGGAGCTAAACTGCAAATTCTCAAAAGAAGAAAAAATGGCTAAGAATTATCTCAAAAAATATTCTTCTCTAGCAGTTACTGAAAAGCAAATCAAACAACTTTGAGATTTAATTTTGCCCCTGTCAAAATGGCAAAGATCAATAAAACAATGGACAACAAATCATAGAGGGTACGCAAGGAAAAGGAAACCATTATTTTCTGTTGGTGAAATTGCAACCTGGGGAAGCAAGTTTAGAAATTGGTGTGAATTCTCTAAAAGCTAAAAATAAACCTATGATTTGAGCCAGCTATACCAGTCCTTAACATATGCCCAAAAGACTAGACAGTTTACTCCACAAAAACTTACTCATCCATGCTCATTGCTGCTGTTCATAATAGCAAGGAAATGGAAATAACCTAAATGTTCTTCGACCAAGGAATTGTTAATGAAAATGTAGCACATATCTATTAGAGAATACTATTCAGCTGCAAATAAAAGTAAAATCATGAAATTTGTAGATAGGCTGGGTGATAGTGGTGAATAACTTTAATCCTAGGACTTGGGATGCAGAGGCTTGCAGATGCCTGAATTTGAGGCCAGTCAGCCTGGTCTACAGAATGAGTTTGAGAGGTCTGCCCGCCTCGCCTTCTCGTCGTGTCTTCTCACAAGACTTTCAGAATCAAGCGATTCTTGGCCACGAAACAAAAGCAAAATCGTCCTATTTCTCAGTGGATTTGGATGAAAACTGGCAACAAAATCAGGTACAACTCCAAGAGAAGACACTGGAGGAGAACGAAGCTGGGTCTGTAAGGAGTCAACAATGGCAAGATAGTTTACGCTGAATCGTGGTCCTGGATGAGTGTTATAAGATGGAGTTCAACATTTTCAACCTGATCATGATTAAGTTGGGAGTGGTTTCTCCAGTAATAAAATGTAGAGCCTTTAAAAAAAATGAGCTTGAGAGAACTCTACCTAAAAAAAAAAAAAAAAAAAAAAACTATTTAAAAAAAAGAAGAAATTTGTAGATACATGTAAGGAACTCTAAAAGATCATAGTGATTGAGGTAACTCAGACCAATAAATACAAGCCTCACATATTGTCTCTAACTTAGTACTCCTAGATTTGAATTATTGATGTGAATATATATCCTTCAGTAACTGTGGAATATAGGAAAGTAAAACCAAATCATTCTTTGGGGTCAGGATAGCAATAGAGAAGAGAATAACTAGATACAAATGATCCAAAGAAGGATACAAAAAAATAAGTAGGAGATTTAATTCGGGAAGGGGAGTTAAATAAATACAGAAAAGAAAAGGCAAAATAACAGTAAGGACATTTAAAAGCTTCATTACAAAGCCAGGCAGTGGTGACACATGCCTTTAATCCCAGCACTTGGGAGGCAGAGGCAGGCAGAGATCTTTGTGAGTTTGAAGCCAACCTGGTCTACGAGAACTAGTTCCAGAATAGGCTCCAAAGTTACAGAGAAGCCCTGTCTTGAAAAAACAAACAAACAAACCCTTAAAAATGAAAAAAAACATAAAAATAAAACAATAATGAATCATAGTATTACCTATCTTTATAAAATAACTGTAATACTCATAAACTGGTGTATAAATGTACATGTGTAGTTAAACAAAAATTTCTCATTTGGATTGCCAATGCTTCCTCCAAGAGCCAAAGACCATTAAAACAAAAACTTCCCACTAGGCACAAGAAGCGCTTTTCTGAGTTGTTAGTCAAGGTTGGTAAAGAGACCCCAGAACACTGTATGCTATTGCTATTGCCCTAGGTTGCCCCAGAGGTTGAAAGTAAGTCCCTAATCCTGAAGACATCATGCTCTTCAAAAAAAGAACCCAGAGATCCTTGAGCAAGAAGTAACCTGTGTAGTGGTGGGAGTGGCGGGCTGCGGCGGTCTGTGGCCCAGCTTCCAGCTAGATTTACCCAAAATAATTACATGGAAACTGTATTCTTTTAAACACTGCCATGCTCATTACCTCCAGTCTCTTATTAGCTAACTCTCACATATTAATTAACCCATTTCTAATAATCTGTATATCACCACGAGGTTGTGGCTTACCGGGAAGATTCTAACTCATCTCCATCTCGGAGAGGAGAGCCATGGCATCTGCCTGCCTCTGCTTTCTTTTTCCCACAATCTGTTCTGCCTACTCCACCCACCTAAGGGCTGGCCTATCAAAAAGGCCAAGGCAGTCTCTTTATTAACCGATGAAAGTAACACATAGACAGAAGACCCTTCTCCATCAAACCTGAAAGCCTCTTCCTTGAGGAGTATTTTTTTCATGGTACCAGAAGGTGCCATACACACTTGGGAAGAACAGAAGCAATCAACAATTTTGCCTATGAACCACCACCACAACAACATGGCATGATAACCCTAAGGGTGCAATAGAGGTATGCATACTTACATGGTAACAATTGCTCTTTCACTGGACTCAAGAAAGACCTGCTCACCAAGGGGGAAACCATCACTGGCACCTGAAAGCTATCCAGCTACACAATTGGCTGTCCAGGTGGTGAAGTCTTGAATCCCAGAGCACAGCCTACAACAGCACTTTGCTAAACTAAAATAATCCCTAACTACATTGCAAATATTTATTTTTATACTCATGGATAAGTATAGTCCTCACACCTAATCGGGAAACGTCTCTCTGTAACAGACTACTATAGAAAAACCACAGTCCATCAAAATTCAGAGACGTGGAGCCCAGCCCCAATGGATATATCTACAGTTCAACTTCCATACCTAAGGGTCAGTGATTATTGCCAAAGAGGGAGCAGAAAAGCTTCAAGAGTCAGAGGGAAATGGCAGTTGCTATAAGATTGTGTCTCCTTGGAATTGCAGAAAATACAGTATATAAAGTTTTACCAAAGTGACTTCCTGAACATGAACTGAACAAGAAGAAAAACAATAGACATGTTAACATTAATGGATGAAACTCATGCTCTTCAATTCTACACACACACACACATATACACACACACACACATACACACACACACACCAAACAAACAAAAACCCTACAGACAATTAAGTGATGCTGAGAATGGGAGAAATAGTCTTCTTCAGAGCAGAGCACATCAATTGGTTATACAATACCAAATGGTCAGTCCCGAAGACATACATACCAGTAACATGGTATTGATGAATAATTTTTGTATTAATGTATTTAGGAACATATGTGTGTGTGGGTTTGCAGAAAATGAAAATAGGGCCATTAATTTGTAAAAGAGCATGGAAGAGTATACAGAAAGATTTGAAATTAGAAAATAGAAGTGAAAATGATGCAATTATATTATAATCTCAAAAAATAATAAAAAGAATAAAGAAAAATGTCTTGGCAGATGATAAGTCAATAATAAGTGAAACCCTACCAACCAGTCTAACTGAAGTGAGATATGAGTTCTGACAAATTAAAAAACAGCTTCTCAACTAAATCAAAGCTAGAACTAAAACCCAATTCTTCGATTTTGCTATTTTTTGAAATTTAGTTTGAAACTTGTCAAGTTGTTACTTTTTTGTATGCTTGTATGTTTGTGTGTTCTGTGTGTGTGTTCAAGAATGTATCTGTAAGCATAAGTATTTGTGCACATGTGTGTGATCCATTTAGATATACCAGACATTTTGAAGTTTAACCTTGCTTAACACTGCAACAATATCTCAAAAACCTTGCTTATTCATACAATACTTTAAGATCACAACATCTCATTTTCCTATCTATTATGTTATTTCTTACTTAAAAATATGTTTGGTCTGAGAAGGTATCTCAGTCAGTGAAGCATTTGCCTTTGAAGCACCAGGACTTTCAAGCCCCCAGGACCCCAAGAAATAAAAGATTAATGTGGTAATGTGTACTTTTAATCTCTGTGCTGCACACTTAGGGACTGGCAAGTTCTTGAGGCACCCGAATGAGACAGTCTGTTTGAATTCATGAAAAACTGCCTCACCAGGTAGATGACACCTGAGGTTGTCCTCTGACCCCCACGTGCACAGACACATGAGTACACATACACCTACACATGTACTTACAACACATACATACATACACACACACAAGGGTAGGGTTCTGGGTCTTACTTCATAAGAAGGTGAGGAGAGCATAATGGGTTCTGAGATCTGCTTTAGGAAGGGCGACTGGGAGAACGTGAGAATGACCTTCCTACTTTTGTGTTTCCTCAAGTTCCTTCTTCTTGAAAGTATTTGGGATAATCAGATCCTAAAATCCATCTGCTACAGAAGACATTCATTTACTTGGACATTAGTTGTCTTGTCACACGTATTTCAGTTTACCAAATAATTGATCAATGCCATTTGATTGTACATCTACTAAGTAAATTATAATCACTTTGCCAACCTGCTTCTTTGGATATTATTACCACTGGATTCCAAAAGTCAATATGCAGCAGGACTCTTTCATGCTGTGGTCAGATTGGAAAGGGAGTCTTTGGTTTGAGCAGATTAAAATACACTGTCACTGCAGATAGGATAGATGAGAGCTCATGAATCAGGAAAATATAATGTTTACAATGGAAACAATGTCCAACTTATAGTAAGAATAAAGTTTTGTTGAAATGAACTTGAGGGAGACTGCTAATGGAGACACCCACCATACACAAGATGATGCCATACTCTGTACAGAGCCTCAACCTGTGGCATGGCATCATACTGGCCCACACTTTCTCTGATTTCAGCAATATATCCAATGGCATGTATCACTCACACTATGAAAAATGACCCAGATTCCACATTTTCAAAATATATTTGAAAGCAAGAGTTCTTTTTAAAGTAATATTTTTATTGATTCTTTGAACATTTCCTACAAATATACAAACTATTTTGATCATCCATTCCTTACTCATCCCTTCAACTCCTCCTGCCCCACATCAAATCTGCCTCCCAGACTCAAGTCCTCCTAAACGTATACATACACAATTGACTGCTCCCTTTGTACAGTACTTCAGTCATATCAATGCCAGAAGAGAGTATCTCATACACTCTCCCTTCTTCCAACTCTTAAGTCTTCCTGTCTCTTCTTTCATGATGTCACAGAGCCTTGAAAATATAGGACAGACAAAACTGCCCCATCCTTGACTGAACATTCACTGTCACTTTTTTCTGTATTATTTATGGTAGTGTTCAATTTTTCTCTTAATAAAACTGAGGAATCAACTCGCTAGTAGCTGTAAGCACTTAGATTGTACATGAGAGACCCATCTTGAGTATTAAGGTGGTGACTGTCACTGGGGTAAATAGGACAGTCACAAAGGAAATCTGTGCTTCAGGTGTGATAGAGCTGTTCCACTTGGAGCTGAGCAGATGACTCAGTCATTCAACTGTTTGGAGCCGAAGTGTGAAGACTGGTGTTTGGATCCCCAGAATTCACATAGAGCCTGACAATGTAGAAAGGGACTTTGTGCTTCCATGAAAAGATGGGAGAAATACAGAGGAGATAACCCTGGAATCTCCTGGACCAGCCTGCCATATGCAGCAGTATACAAGAGACCTTGTCTCAACCAAGATAGAACAAAACACAGTATCTAATAATGTCTTCTGAACTCCACATGCACATCTTGCCATATGTGCACCCACATGCTGTTTAATCCAGGTACCCCCACAAACAAACAGAGATAAAAAAAATTCATGAAACAATGCTTAAGTGTTTTCTACTTCTGGATTTACAAATGTGCAAACCCCCTTCATTTAAACGAACTGGGCAAGATTTCTATAACTTCCATTAAACTAAGCAAAAGGGCACCTTTCCTGAGAATAATATGATATTCAGTAGCAGAACGAAAAATCAACTATGTCCAAAGGAATTAGAATGTTAAGAGAAACAACAATGGAAGTTAGAATCAAATTTGATTGAGAAAG